CCCGTCACGCTTGGAAACTGTTAAATTTTATACTTTATCAGTTTCGCATTAAACTGATATCTGACTTCAAGGGTTAACAGTTTGACACTTGCCAAATCAATGGTTACAGAGAATTTACTAAAAACTTTAGCAAAAACCAAGTTAAAATGTCCCCCCGTTACTTTGGAATGCCCCATATACAGATCTAAATAAAAAATAAGTTTTTCGTAAACTTTTTCAAATTAAGCGTGGAAATATATGCGTTTCGAATCCTACTTCACAAATTTGATATATGTATATAGTCGTTTAACGTACAAAACCGCGTATCAAGAAAAAGCAATACCTCGTATGTGAGGTTGCCCAAATTTTATAACAGAAAGTAAATTAGTCTTATTTCAAAACGGTTCTTTTTTTATCCCTAATTATCTCTTCTTATATCTAAGGTTAAACGCATAGTGGCACAGCGAGCAAAGCGACGATTACATGATAAAGGCAAGGGGAAAGATATAGTAAAAATAAAATAAAGATTAAGGAAAACAGATTAAGATAAATGTAATTATAACGAAATGGTAGAGGGNCGCATAGTGGCACAGCGAGCAAAGCGACGATTACATGATAAAGGCAAGGGTAAAGATATAGTAAAAATAAAATAAAGATTAAGGAAAACAGATTAAGATAAATGTAATTATAACGAAATGGTAGAGGTAGAGCTAAATAAGGACGAAATAAGGTACATAAGAAAGAACTTATGTTAACTAGCCTGTCGGTTTATTCAAAATTTCAAACCAATGAAATACAAATGATATTATTGTTCATCTAAGTAGTATACATTCTAAATAGGAACCAAATCGGAACGTAATTACGGGGTTTTCAAATATCTCTCCATCTGCGCCACCTATCGGATTAACTCGTCATTGCTGTTGCATTGTCATCGAGATCTGAGCCAAGTTTGAATTTGTAACTCTAGTTCACGATGAAGTTGGTTTAAATATATGTATTTCAAGATTTGATCACACGCAGGTGAAACAAATAAAAGCTTGTAAATAGTACACCAAGCATCCAAATTAATTCGTCAAATTTGCTATGACAATGACTAAGATTGCTAAAAAAAAATGACATCAAAAAATAAAAATAAAATTTTAATAATATATTAAATATGTTATCAAAATCACCCATATTTTTTATAAAAAGTAAAATGGAGGTATTAAAATTAATCTACTATCTAAAAAATGTTACGCATTTAACCAGTTTCCTCTCTTAATTTATGCAAATTTGCACACCTTGCTAATTAAATTCAACTATCCTTGTTTACTTTACTTACCATTTGTGGGGCGAGCTCAAAACACCTAATGCCAAGCCAAGCCAAGTCCTTCTCCACTTGGTCTTTCCATACAGGGGGAGCCTCCCTATTTCTCTGCTACCACCAGAAGGTTGCGAGTTCAATACTTTCAGAGCTGGAGCATCGGTGTCCATTCGAACGACATGGCCAAGCCAGCGGAGCCGCAGCATTTTAATTAGCTGCACTATGTCCATATCGTTGTAAAGCTCATACAGCTCGCCATCGCCAACGCGCAAAGGCCCGTAAATATTTCGCAAAATCTTTCTCTCGAACTCTCCAAGAGCCGCCTCATCGGATGTTTTCATTGTCCATGGTTCTGCACCATATACCAACACGGGCATGATAAGTGACTTATAGAGTGTAGTTTTCGTACGTCGAGAGAGAACTTTACTCCTGAATTGCATACTTAGTCCAAGGTAGCACTTGTTGGCAAGAGTGATTCTGCGTTGGATTTCCATGCTGACATTATTATCGGTGTTAATGCTGGTTCCCAATTAGATGAAATTCTCTAGTTTTTCGAAATTATGACTGTCAACAGTGACTAAGTGTAGGGTTGCAGATTTTTTTGCGCAAAATCAGTACCTTATATTTTTTCACGCTATAAAAATCAGTACTTTTCTGTACACTTTTATTCAAAGCAAAATTTTGTGAGTAACAGAAAATCCTTTGAAATGACAGAGAACTTATTTTTAACAATATTTTGGTATAAGAATAAAATGTGGTTCACAAAATATAATAAACTAGCAGACCCGGCGAACTTCGTCCCGCCCAAAATTAATTTTTTTATTGAAATATTTGGTAAAAACTTTTTCGCCGGCAACTCAAGTTCATGTTTGGTTTTGTGGTCGACAGAAGGCATATCCCCATTGATGTCTTAAATAACCTGACGAAAGCGTTATACCGGGAAGAAGTCCTTGCGGCTCGATAGTGAATCGTCCTTGAATCTGTATAGTATAGTTGGTGGCAGTTTACAAACTGGTGAGTATCATTGGTCCACATTCTGTTTAGTCACGGTAAAGCAAGGACTGCAATGGTTCTGATGGTTGATTTAACGGAAGTAATTTAACTTTGATCCCTGGTGCCTCCGAATCGACGATTTTTAGCAATAACTCGGTTCCAGCGCCACTAAAAATTATCACTAAAATCGTTTCGGTCGTTTTGGAGGAGTTAAGCCACCAGAATAAGTCTTTTACATACCGCCACTCTTCGGCATTTTTTCCCATACAGAAAAACGTTCACGCATTCTTTAGACGTGCGGTATCAACGGTATCTTATAGCCATTAAAAACTTGCACTTTATGATACCGAAATTGAGTGAACTTCAAAACTGCATACTCAAAATTTGGTACAATAAATGTATTACGAAAAAGAAAAAAAACACTGTATTCTGGGTGTATATATTTACAGATAGGTAAAAGTTTCAATATGTTTGGAAAGCACCACTTTCCTTTTCCAGGAGCCCCGAAATCTCTATACCAATTTCCAGGACATTACCACAAATACTTTCAGAGATATACGGTATGAAAAATTCGATATGCATTGGTGATGCCACGCTCCCTTAATATATCCAAAATCTGCAGTAGGTGTCTAAAATTTCAAAAAATCAGTACAGCCGTTCGCGAGATCACCTCTTATAAAAAGAAGGAGCTTCTCTTTATAACTATAATTAGTGTAAGTAACACAGGGCAATACCGATTTTGATGCGGCAAACGTTGAAGCTGGTTTTAATAGGTTTTTTTCCTGATTAAGAATACGTAAATATAATGTTTCCATCGCGTTTTTCGCAATATTTTAGAAGCTCTAGCAATGAAACAAAAGGTGATAGAAGCTTCCACTTAAATTAAGGTTTCGACTTCTGACTTCAATCCCTGAAAATACCATTCCTGCACCTTGACCCTAAGGTTACCTATAGTCATTTATTTAATAGCTAACACTGATCTTTACACCATTTTTGACGATAAAAAGTAAATGAGTATAGGTGACCATTAGGGCAAGGTGCAGGTATAGTACTTTCAGGGATGGTAGTCTGTAGTTCTAGGAAGGTTCTATGACCTTTTGCTTAATTGCGGTAGGAACTAGATCTTCCCGAAATCAGTTATTCCTGTTCAACAAATGACTAGAAGGCCTGGTTTCTCCAACTCAACTTAGTTAAGCCAATTTTCTCGACTCAGCCAAGAATAAGCTGTGTAAAACGTAGGCTAACTTTTGACTTAAGTCCAAAAATGGCTAAACTAAGTTAAGTTGAGATGGAGAAACCAGTATTAAGTGACCATCAAGCAAAGGTGCGGGAACTTGCTTTAATCAAAGCCTAAGTGGAAGGTTCTACCACCACTTTGTTTCTTTACTAGAGCCTCTCATATATTGCAAAAACTCGATTATTTGACAATTTGACCTCGTTTTTTCTTAAAATCTGGAGCTGATGGTAACTTTTTACTTACGGATTCGTAATCAGCACAAAAAAATCTGTGAAAAATAGCGTTAACATTTGCTGCATCAAATTTTTGTAACTGTAAAACAATGACCCGATTCGATTGAAAATTTTTTGGAATTGATCGGTTCTGGCCCACCTATCATATATTCTAACCCAGCCAATAAGCTACCTACGTGCTAAATTGCCAGCAAATCGGACCATTAATAAGACTGTTTCGAATAGTTCGGTCTCTGACCCACTTAACGGAAAAAATGAATCCCATATGCTAATCTAGGCCAAAGCCTACCAACGAACCAACTGCATTTTTTTAAGCATAGCTCGACCTCTGCGCCAACTATCGGAAAAATTAAAACTTTGTGCACTCCTTCTTCTAAACACGTTTCCAAAAAAGCAGCACCTATTCGAATCGGTTATGAAACATAGGAGAAAATTGTTCCCAATTGATTCAAGCTCCCAATGAATTTCACAATTATCCGAAATTTTGAAAGCTTTTGTCGAAAAAAATTCAAATTTTTTGCATTCTTCGATTCCATACAAAAAAATCAATTTTCGATCTTTAAAATTTTCCGAATGTCCCGGAGGGGTTTCCCAAAATTTTCTTTCGTAAAAACCTTCTCCTGGCAATTACGAACAACTGAAAAAAAATTAGCCAAATCGGCCCAACCGTTCTCAATTGATGAATTACTATACATTTTTCACACCATTTTTATATATATAGATTTTGTTGAAAACTAAACCCTTTTCGGTAGTAGTTTTGTATGCAATTTTTAGAGTGTAAAAGTGAGTAGCAGCAAATAGCACGGTTCCGGAGATTTTCATACAAGTATGTATAGTTCGGCGTGATATTACTTACCTATGCAGCTTGCCAGAAACATTTTCAATAATTAAAACAAATTTCCAGTTTTTTAATATAGTTTTTAGTTTTATTTAATTACGTTTATTTAATCGCATTGCATATTTCCTCTTAAACACCCAATTGTATGCAATGACATTACACATTCTTGTACACATGCACATTTGTTGTGTATTATACTATTTGTGTTTCCGCATTTTCACAATCGTACAATAAATATTCATTAGTGAAAATTTTAAATATTCTCTGTTTTTGTTTATTGTTTGTTTTGCTGTAGTAATGCTTTCAATTCGCAACATGTTTTCATCAGCATACGAATAATTAAATTTACTTAAAAAAAGAGATCTGTTGCATTTGCCGGATGCTTTGCCGGTGTATTGACTATGTGTGTGTGTGTGTTTTTTTTTATGCTGCAGCCGAATATGCTACCAATAACTAAGTACTACACATTCACCCGTAACTAGTGACGTGAAAAACTGTACACAAACAGTGACGTAGGGGCCCCTAAGACTTCCCCCATGATAGCTTTTATATTTGCTGAAGGTGGTTAAATGATTTTTTTTTGCATACTTATTACTAATTCCATTTATTCCCAATTAAATAACCTACAAAAATATGTTTTCCAAACAAAAAGGTATTGGAGTAGTGGCCCTTGAAACATTGTTAAATTTTTATTTCACGCGATAAAAGGTCGATTAAAAATTTTCTGACAAAAAAAAAAATTAAGGCAATAAACTAAGAGCGCCATATTATTCGCAATGGGAAAATAGTTTCGTTTTCAGCTTCACAAAAAACTTGACACAGCTGGTAACCGACTGAAACCTGTAGTATTTGTTAGTTTTCTGTAAATTCAAAGGTATTCCGAATTTGAAGATAATTCACCTCCATAAAAAATATAGCAGTTGAAAACTTCAGAAGAGTCTAGTGGACTCCACATCACTAGTTACAAGTTAATGCAAACTGTAGTATTATTAGTACGCATTCCATTTACCCTATAAAAATTAGGATCATTCAAAGTGTAATCCTAGATTAATCCTTTGCAAGCAATGAATTACTCCTTAAACTCCTTTTTAACATTACGTGTGCTTACAAGCGATCACTTCTTTTGAGCTCCAAACGGAGGACAAAGGTGATATTCTTTTGAGCTTCTTTTCACCTTCGAAACGAGAACAAAGGGAAGTTATCGAATTCCTATCCTTAGCTCGATTATTTTTGTAAAACATGTCAACGCTCCAAATTGGTGAACAAGTCATTACTGCTTTATTGCTCGATTTTGCTACTAATGCATACATTTTGCTGAGTAGCGCACACACACACATATGCAAATGTACACAATGTTGACTCAATAACTTTTCATAATCATTTATTATTTATTTAATTATTATTCTTCATTTTCCGGGCACTATTATTATTTAGCAGCCGTAATTATTAAAATACGTTCAATTGTTCAAATGTTTATGCTTTTATTTGTATATTTTTTGTTGTTGTTAATACACATAAACACATAAATGCTTGCATAAACGCATTCTTCTTCAATAGCTTCCGCTTTGGCCCACTCTCTTGGGTGGGTTATTATTTTTATTGTTGTTCAATTTAAAAACGATTCTATGGTAATTTGTGGTTTTAATTGTACGTAATGAGTAACAAAAATTAATACATTTTTTTGTTCGCATCCTTGCACTAAAGTTTGTGTGTTTGCATGATTTATTTTTTTGTTGTTGTGCGCTTTTGGCATTGCGAGCAATTTTTTGCTGACATTTCTACTTAATGAAGTCATTTCCTTGTTCTGTGGTTTGCGTTTATATTTTCATCGTTTCTTAAATATTGAGTTTGAAAATTAAAATCTATTAACTCTATCTGTTTAATATTTTATTCCAGTTAAAAATGTCAAACGAACATTTGTATTCTATTTGTTTGCCAATACCGGGTTTGCGACGTCATCTAATAATCTCTTATATAGTGAGGTCATACGAGCACATTTTTTCCCCCTGCCGAAGGAGGTTCTGGCACCAAACTTTACGTGTCTAAGTATAAATTTGGAGGATCCTCATGAAATGTTCATATTTTACTCTAGAAAAATACGGCACGTTAAAAATTTGTTATCCGGCAAACAAAATTTTCCTATGCAAGTCATCAGTGAGTGTCACCAAAAGGCTGCAGTCAACAAATGTCCGATACGGCGTTTGACAGTACCAGTTCTCAAGTCTTTTTTAATAATTCCACTCATGGACTTTTGCGTGACACTCGTATCTCGGAGCGGATTTCGAGAAAATTCAGCGTGATGACTTGCGGCGTTGGAACTGTACGTGGACCGGCCCGACCGACGGACAAACATGCAACTTATCTTAAGCGGGCGGAGCGTTTTGAAAATACCACATTTTTTTTCATTTCACATTTACATAAATAGCGCTATAATAGCGACACGATTTTCGTTACTTGACCATTCCTTGGTGAGAGCTAAAGCAATTTTGAATTAAACTCTGCTATTGGATTGGGTGCGTTCAATGTTGCCACAATATTTATTTCAATACTAACCATAACGGCCTCCATTATTCTATCAGATTCTTTGCCAATCCAAAAAAGTGAGGAAAAGTGTGCCACACCACTAATATTAAGCCCTTTTGTTAAGATTTGAGGTGGCCACTCCAGTGTGTTAATATATGAGTCCTCTATATATTTTGAATCAATTCTTGGTTATAAGCCGGTGAATTGTCCTATTTCAAAATTAAATAATTTCCAAATAACCGAATACTACATTATCATAAATATAAATCTGTTATCCACGCCTTTGTTTCCGGATTTTGGTTTTGGTTTTCAATGAAAATGTTTCACCTTTTTTACGGCAAATGAACATCTGTCCTCCGATTCTTTTCTTCGTCGTACGAATCTTTTCTTTATAAAACTTCATTTCTCCCGGAATAGTTTAGAAAAATTACTAAGTTTATCTTATGGCATTGGCAAACTGTTTTTTTTTCATTGAACCTTTAAACATTTTAACTTTCTCTGCTTAAGTAAAACACTAAAACTGTAAAACTTCATAAAGTCAATCATTGGTGTTTACTTAATATTTAATTCATGTAAACTTGCATATTGCAACGTATTATGTAAGTGTAGGTGTGTAAATCTATGATCATTCTCAACTTTGTATTTGGCTTTATTTTTCGCAGATGTACTTGTTTCTCAAAACCTACAAGTATTTATCTATTCGGTAAACTTTCTGCTACCTAAAAAATTACGCACATCAACTGTCTGCTTTTTCTTTTGCTTTATTCTGAATTTATTTGGTATAAAACACGAGCACAATTTTAAGTCTCCTCACAAATAGCCAAGTGCATATATCAAACTTAAACGTGTCTGCTTAAGTTATTTCGCTCCAACTACCTTAGCCCTCAAAATTGACATGCTATACTAATTTTTCCTTCAGCTCTCACACATTTCTTCTTTGTTTATTTGTTTTTCAACTCTTTAAGCAAAAATATTTATACTCGTACTTACATATTTAAGTACTCGTAGAAATAGTCCATAAACTACACTGCTACTATTTTCTTCTCCTCACTACTTCGCTGCGTTTTCAACTCCTCCCATAAAATTCTTAACTACACATGTACTTAGCTACTTTTTCCTGTTCATAAACATATTTATGATGCTAAGTAATTCCCCTTTAGGCCTCCACACGCATATCTCTCTGCCGAACTCACCTTCTTTCCATTACGTCTTGCTCGCCTTGTTCGGGCTTAACCTAATATTTTCTTAAAATAGCTGACAGTTTCCGGCTGGGTCAGCACGCGATGGCGATTTGGCTTGTAGAGCGGCGTCTCTGTTGCTTCCTTCAAGAAATTGCGTGTCGGCGTTGGTGGTTCGGCGGTTGTGGCATGATGCTTCGTATGCTTGCCGCTGCTGCTGCTGCTGCTGTTCTTCTCGAGCTTCTTACCTCCTTCGGTATCTTCAATTGCTGCAGAGCTTTCCTCAGAACTCGACAAGTCCATATCTGTGTTACTATTACATACTCTTGTTGTTGTTATTGAATGTGTGTATGTTGTGTCGGTTACAGCGGAAGCGGAAGCAGCAATGGAAGCAGTAGTCGTTGTGACTGTAGCCAAGGTTGGTGCTGATGGCGCGCCAGTTGTCGGGGTTGCATTTTGTGGCGCCAATTCTACGACTGCAGCTGCTGGTGACTTTGCACTTGCTTCTTCAACCTCCAGCTTGCGATTTGAGTCGGCGACTTTTATTGCTTGCAACTTATCTGTCTTCGCCGTTACTGTTGTTGTGATGATGGTGGCTGACGCTTCCGCTGCTGTATTAGATGCCTTCCCTGACGTTTCTTTTGTTAGCTCTTCAACTGCCTTTGTTTGCGGTTCTCGCTTAACTGGCTTCTCAATTTCATGTGTCAAGCTGACGTCAGCGGATTTCATTGTGGTTGTCGACGCTGTTGATGTTGCTGTCGTCCTCCTTGTAGTTGTTGTTGTTGCTGTCGTCGTGGTGGTTGGTGTTGCCGTTGAAAGATGCTTGTTAGCAGCGGAAGCGCTGGTTGCCGATTGCGTTGTTGTTGTAGGTGCATCTGTTGTTGTTTCTGCTATAATATCTTCGACATTTTCAATTTTCTCACTTGCTACTTGCGAATGAGCTTTTGTACCAGATTGTTTACCGCTCTGTTGCTGCTTTTGATTTGCTGTTGCAATTAACTTGGCATTTGAGTGTTGCTGCTTGTGTTCTTGTGCCAGTGCTGCCGATTTATCGGTTGTTTCCTTTGTCAACTCGTCACCATGAGCTGATGTTCCCTCTGAGGCTGCTGTTGTTGTTCCTGATTTTAATGTCGCCATTGTGGTCGTCACTGTTATTGTGGTCTTCGCTTCAATGTCAGCTACATCTGCTTTGGCAGTTGCTATGTGATGGGTTGCTGGCTCAGCGGGAACTTGGCTGATCGCGGTGCTGTGATGAGACGTGTCGTCATTGGGCTTTCCTTAAAAATTACAACCAAAAAATGATTTAAAATTAAGTTACCATAAATTTATGTCGATGGAAAAAAATTACATTGACCGACAGTATTTTAACAATTACCTGTTCCAAAATTTTTTAAATAATATAAAATTTTTTTCCCATTGACTAGTGTAGTACAATTTACATATATATGTAAATTAGGGTGATCCTTAAATGTATTAAGTACATTATTACATCCGATTTCTNGTGTGTATGTTGTGTCGGTTACAGCGGAAGCGGAAGCAGCAATGGAAGCAGTAGTCGTTGTGACTGTAGCCAAGGTTGGTGCTGATGGCGCGCCAGTTGTCGGGGTTGCATTTTGTGGCGCCAATTCTACGACTGCAGCTGCTGGTGACTTTGCACTTGCTTCTTCAACCTCCAGCTTGCGATTTGAGTCGGCGACTTTTATTGCTTGCAACTTATCTGTCTTCGCCGTTACTGTTGTTGTGATGATGGTGGCTGACGCTTCCGCTGCTGTATTAGATGCCTTCCCTGACGTTTCTTTTGTTAGCTCTTCAACTGCCTTTGTTTGCGGTTCTCGCTTAACTGGCTTCTCAATTTCATGTGTCAAGCTGACGTCAGCGGATTTCATTGTGGTTGTCGACGCTGTTGATGTTGCTGTCGTCCTCCTTGTAGTTGTTGTTGTTGCTGTCGTCGTGGTGGTTGGTGTTGCCGTTGAAAGATGCTTGTTAGCAGCGGAAGCGCTGGTTGCCGATTGCGTTGTTGTTGTAGGTGCATCTGTTGTTGTTTCTGCTATAATATCTTCGACATTTTCAATTTTCTCACTTGCTACTTGCGAATGAGCTTTTGTACCAGATTGTTTACCGCTCTGTTGCTGCTTTTGATTTGCTGTTGCAATTAACTTGGCATTTGAGTGTTGCTGCTTGTGTTCTTGTGCCAGTGCTGCCGATTTATCGGTTGTTTCCTTTGTCAACTCGTCACCATGAGCTGATGTTCCCTCTGAGGCTGCTGTTGTTGTTCCTGATTTTAATGTCGCCATTGTGGTCGTCACTGTTATTGTGGTCTTCGCTTCAATGTCAGCTACATCTGCTTTGGCAGTTGCTATGTGATGGGTTGCTGGCTCAGCGGGAACTTGGCTGATCGCGGTGCTGTGATGAGACGTGTCGTCATTGGGCTTTCCTTAAAAATTACAACCAAAAAATGATTTAAAATTAAGTTACCATAAATTTATGTCGATGGAAAAAAATTACATTGACCGACAGTATTTTAACAATTACCTGTTCCAAAATTTTTTAAATAATATAAAATTTTTTTCCCATTGACTAGTGTAGTACAATTTACATATATATGTAAATTAGGGTGATCCTTAAATGTATTAAGTACATTATTACATCCGATTTCTTAAACGCCAACCCCCACATCGATGCTAATATAGTCAAAGATATCACACAAAAATTTTGGTCCCGATCGGAGACGGTTTAGGCGTGTCGCACAGGGGTCAAAGTTCAGATTCCTCTATAGAGACTAAAAAGATTAAAATTAATATTTTTTTCATCTAATACTCAAAATCGATACTACTAACGTGGAAGATGTCACATATAAATTTTGGTCCCGATCGGAGTAGGGTAAGGCGTAAAAAAAATTAATTAAAATTTTGTGAGTCTCCATAGGGGAATCTGAACTTTGACCCCTGTGCAACACGCCTTAACCGACTCCAATCGGGACCAAAATTTATACGTGATATCTCCGCCTACAGTAGTATCGTAGTATTAGATGAAAAAAAAAATTTATTTAAATTTTTTGAGTCTCCATAGAGGAATCTGAACTTTGACCCCTGTGCGACACGCCTTAACCGTCTCCAATCGGGACTAAAATTTATATGTGATATCTTTGACCGTTGTATTAGCGACTGAGGGGGTGAGACTTAAAATTTCATTTTTAAGAGCCACCCTAATGTACATATTCCCTGCAATCCGAAGTTCCCGAAATCTTTAGGAGTATCTCACTTCTCTGACGATTTTTTTACGAATCTTCGAAGAAAATTACATGAAGACGAAAACGAATATGAAGGCGAAGAAAACACGAAGGCAAGTATGAATACGGAGATGAATTCAATAACGAATATGAAGAAAATTCGACAATGAAAACGATAAGCGATGCGAAGACGAACACGAATATAAAGACGATCTATGAATTCGGAAATAAATTCGAAGACGAATACGACGACCAAGACGAATACGAAAACTGAATTGAATACCAATACGAATACAAATATGAAGACGAAAAAATACGAGTTCGGGGACGGACACGAATACGAATGCGAAGATTAAGACGAAGGTAGCTGCGAAGATAAATGAAAAACAAATACAAAGTATAGACAAATACTAACACAAAAACGAAAACGGATACAAAGCGAAGGCCAACACGAAAACAAATACAAGCAGAAATACGAAGACGATTGTAAAAAAATGATAGTAGTATGAAGACGTATAAAAATTAATTAACAAGAAAGCGAAGATGAATACGTTAACGAACATGAAGCCGGAAGCGAAGAAAAAGTCGCATACGAAGACGATTGTAAAGACGACGACTGAGACTAAGGACCAGGTTAATACTAAGCCTAATACAAATTTCTACAATATGAAGCGAAGTGGAAGTGCAATGGCGTATAGTACTTCTTCCAGATTCTCGAGAAAAGGATCGACATTCATCAGCTTTGCTTCCTTTCATTCGATACATTTTTCAAATAAAAACTGTATACATTTTGCATAAAAATATATCCCTTTAGACACCGCGGTCGTCAAGGTTTAAGATCTTATTGTTTGCAAAAATAAAAAGCTCATGCTTTTAAATCATGTTTGTTAAGCCATTTGCCAAAATATTTCCAAAATTTCCCAAAGTACGCCGAACAAAATTGCGATCTATAAATTTCTTATGATGTTCGAGATTCTATATTGCGCAGAAACATGGAATATGACGAATAAAAATGATAGGGCGTCCGAGAGAACTATTTTATGCAATATCTATACAAAAGTATTTAAAATGACTAGCTGTATGACCAATATAATGACATATACGTAGACATAGATAGGCAATGAAAACTCTGTCATTTTATTTACATGGTGCTCCTTAGACCCTACCCTACGCGACATAATATCACAAATTGGTTATTTGAAATCCACTAGTAGTAGAAATAATGCATTAAAATTGATAGGAACGGATTATTTTTACTAAAGCGTTGAAACTCGTGCCCCGATGCCCTAAATTCAGTATGAGTTACTTAACTGATTGTACTGAGAATTCAGTAAAGTTTTTCGAAATTTTTATTAACTTACCTCGAAAATCTCCATGACCAGGGTGCGCCGGCGCCGCTCCCTCATGCATTCCGGTGCCATAATGCTCCCCACTTGGATGGTCACCATGCTTCAGCGGTGGTACGTAATGTGACTTCACCATCAACATTGGTGGAATAAAGTGTGAATTGTCTGCTGATTCTTTCATGTGTGAATGTTGCGATTCGTCGGAAATAATGATCCCGTGTGCTTGCTGTTGCTGTGGGTGCATAGGATGGGCTATGGTTGCAGGTGATTCGGTGTGCGATGTGTGGGGAGCAGGCGTGCTACTGATGAAGGCGTGCGCATCTAAGTCGGTTGGATGCGTAGGAGTGGCTGTTGTGGTATGGACTATTAGGCTCGGGACGGTTTCCGAAGATCTAATAGTGCTAGGCGATGCATCACTTCTTGAAATGAGAACAGCCTGTTCTGTTGTTATTGTAGCTTGGTTTTCATTCGGTTTGTGAGTAGTCGTGGATGTGCTCAGAATTGGTGTCACAGTGCTACTAGGGTCAGTGGTTGTCGTCGCAGCTGCTGTGGTGGTAGTTGTTGTAGTAGTAGTTGTAGTAGTGGTTGTTGCTGGCACAGTAGTGGTGCTACTTGCTGTACTGGAAGCTGCTGTAGCTGTGTCAAATACTAATCTCTTTTCCATCTCTTCCTTGAAATGCTGAGCTTGCTTTTCTTCACTAACCATCTCCTCCGAAAACTTCTCTGTAATGGGTGCCATTGTTTTTAAGTCCTGTGGCAGTACTTTTTTCTTATGCGGTAATGATTCAGTTATCTCATTAGAGACTTCGTCTTCTTCGATGCCAACGTGTTCTATCATTTCCGGTTCACCGCTTTGCTGTGGCTGATCGCCCATCATCATGTCTTCCAAAGCCAACAACTGATGTTGCTTCTTTGGCTTCGGCGTTGGTGGTGGAAGCTGAATGCTCTCGTCGTATTTTTGTCCACGGTACTTTTTCTGATAATCGCCACTATTGGTTACGATCACCTTCTTAGACGCCTTCTTCACTGGTTTAGGGATCTCGCCTGGTATGTGGTAGCTACTCATGGGCATTGTGGCTTCGTCGGCTTGCATAAGCTCATCCACATTGAATTGTTCGATGAGTCGCTGCACGGTATTCTTTTCCGTTGGCACCTGCTCAGAGACGTCGCTGCTGCTGCCCGAACCGTAGGTGGTTTCACCAAGTGGCAGCAACTCAATGTCGTTGTTCTCATTATTGTCTGTGCGAATGCTGTTGATAATTTGAAGAGATTTGAAGTGGGAGTTGGTTATATCATTGATACGTTGTGCTTCAAGTCGCTCACGTGGGCAGATCAGTTCACGCAGTGCACGATCACGATCCTATGGAGAAAAAATCGAAAAAATGGACAAATAAAGAAATATACTACAAAGATATATACATATTTTACATAGTTCAAAAACACTTTTGATTTCGTGTTTTCAAACAAATTTCTATCGCCGAGCGCAAAGGTGTACAAGGGTATTATAACTTTGTTCACATAAGGGTTGTTTGTAACATACTAACAACAATCCCTTGAAAAGAAGTAACATTATTATGGAATTTTGGTAAATGGGCTATATATAACTATGTATAACTATATAAGTTTATTTCATTATGTCTAACTGAACGTTCTATCGAAGATGTTTGAAATAGGGGTAAAACCACCCCTGGTATCTATGTAGCGGTAGTTTTCGGAAAGGTGAAAGAACTTGCGTCGGGTTTTTACTTGTTTTGTTTAAAAATGCCAATTTAATATTTGGTCAAAATAAAATTAGTAAAGTTAAAGTATTGATGAAGAGTTGACTTCCAAAGTAAGTCTTTGTTTTGTTTTGGTGTTGGTTGGTTTTTTCTTTCCCGATGAGAGATATTTCCAGGCAAATACAAATTGCACGCCAAAACTTAACCATAGAAAAATGCCACAATGGCGTAAGTTTGAAGTTTTTACTGGTTTCACTGGTGAGATATTTCTGATAATTGCTCTACCTCTTAATATACTTATGAGTGATGTGTTCACGCTCCCACTGCTGGTACTTACTGGAAGTGGTGTTTAATAAACCTAAAATTTGTAAATAATTCGTATGCTGGATTTTCACTAGGCATTAAATGGAAACACTTCGATTACTCATAAAATGCATTACTTTCGATAGACGCTCCCTCGAGGGCTTGCGGACGCAGCGAACGCACATAATCTTTTGTCTCGCCCTGCAGATCCTCAGTGGATGTCGGCGCGATTTGGTGCGCATCGCTTTTAAAAGCCTTATCCCGTCGATATCCGCTACCTTCCTTAAAAATGCCATGTACTGTTATCTACGTGTTCTCTGTAGGCTCTATTTGGATGCCATTGTCAACAGCTTGTCTTTATTTGAGGGTGTTATGAGGAAATAACATGCGCTTTATATGCTAAGCTATGGTTGAGTTTTTATTGCGGATATTTATGTACGCTTCGGGTATGACCACTTATCTTTTGTTGTTGTTATGGGAAAATCGATTTATCGATCGAAGTATGGCGTTTCAAAGATAAAATTCCAAACCTAAAGACAGATTCATATTGTAAGTAACCAATAAGGTTTCTGTTGTAGAAACAACGGTAAATATTGGCTTATTTTGGGGTAAATTTTGAACTTTAAAGTGCTATAGAAACTTACATAACTTTCGTTTTAGGGATGTAGGAGCAATAGAAATATTATCGTGTAGAAATTTTATATAAATTCAACAATCATTTAACATTCTAAGGCCAAAAATTGTTGAAAAAATGGGCAAACGTTTTTTATTATCAAAAGACTGGACAACGGCTCTATTTTCTTTAATCAAAAACTCAAGTTTATTACATTCGTTTGGTATATCGGAAGTATTGGTTGATATCTCCTAAGTAAACATACTTTATTAAAATATATGAGCATACATGATTTTCCATACAAAATCTCTTCGGCATCATTTAGAAAACATATGCATGCGCTGGAAGTGAGAGAGGGAGACAAAGAATATGTGTGTGTAGGTATTTCGAGTTTTGAGTACCAGATGGCGCAATATTTATAACCTAATCGCAGCGTATTTAAATTATGAAGTACATATGTCGATTGCAGTTAATGTGGATCTGATGCCGTTAACAAAAAATGCCTTCATGTATTGTATTTATACATTGGACATACAAACTTAGATTTGATCTAACCCTGGTATTTGTGTATTAGGGAGTTAACAAAATCAAGATAGGAGGTTTAAAACTATTAAATTGAAGTATACACAACTCTGGAATAATAAAAGGCAATAATTACCGATTATTTTCTGCTCAAAAAATAAAAGGCAAATTTTAACTTTTATTTTTGCCTTAAAAAAATAAAAAAGCAGATATAATCGGTATTATTTGCTCAAAATGATAAAAGTCAAATTTTTAAAGCTCATGGAGGAATCACAATCTACAATGTGAGATGGGTCTAAAGGTACCTTTGAAAAAGCTATAGCATAATTTATTAATTATGTAAAATAACTTTTATTTTCAGTCTCTGTTAAAAAGTATTTCATTTAGTATTTTTATTTCAGTATAAATGTCATCCATTTTAATAAAAATTTTTGGTGCGAATTACTGAAATATGTTTATATTTATAATTGAAGTAATATAGTATTCTTGCGTACTATACTTTTTCCAACAGTATATAGTACGCCGACCGGAAAATAGTATAATAGTACGATTGGAAACCCTAGTCAGAGGAAAGAGGCTGCGGTTGGAATATATTTTGCAGAGGGCTGCCACCTTGTTACAAACTTAGATTGAATATAAGAAATAGGTAAATTAAGCTACTTCAGTATTATGAATATAAATCAAAATTGTTTTGAAGAAACTTGATTTCCAAACTGCATGTAGGAGGGTTGCCACCTGATTTTATAATAAAATTCAATTTGAATTCAGAGGATTAGATAATTAAAATATGTATCGCAATACAAGTGTCAGCCAAAAAAGGTTTCATAACGTTTTGGTTTAAAAATAATTCTAAAAGGATTGCCATCGGTTTGAAAAGGCGAATTAAATTAAATTATATAAAATATTGGCACCAAAGAAAGGAGTATTAAGACATATTTAGTTTGAGCATTTATAATATTAAATAAAATATTAAACTAAAATTACGTAATAAGTCAAATGAATTATAAGAGTATGGCTATAAATTGACATGGGTTAAAAACGTTTTTTCTGAAAATTATATAAGAGGGTTGCCATATGTTTTAGTAATAAAATTAATCTTGAATTAAGGGAATTAGGTACACAATTTAAATATGTAACGCAATATGTGTGTCAGTCGAAAAACATTTAGTAAGGTTTTAGTTTTAAATATTGTGGACAGTGTTGCCACCTCTTTTGCAAATATAATTTAATTAAAGTATGCGTAAGTTAAATGTAATATTATAATATGACGAGAAACGAAGGTGTGTATAGTTAAATATGTAGAAAATTAAAGAGGGCTGCCACCTGTTTTAAAAGGTAAACTTAAATTATTTAATGAGTTAAAGTAATTATTAAAAATATGGGTATCAAGTGAAATGGGTTTAGACAGGCTTCATTTTTGAACTGTATATAGAAGCATTTTCACTTTTCACGTTAAAAAAAATATAATTTAACTTATTCCATTCATCAGGCACAAGAAATATGTACACNATGGGTATCAAGTGAAATGGGTTTAGACAGGCTTCATTTTTGAACTGTATGTAGAAGCGTTTTCACTTTTCACGTTAAAAAATATAATTTAACTTATTTCATTCATCAGGCACAAGAAATATGTACATNCTTTTCACGTTAAAAAATATAATTTAACTTATTCCATTCATCAGGCACAAGAAATATGTACATATGTAAGTATCTCAATATCAGACGCAAGCTATCTGTTTATTTCTTAACTATATTTAGGAGGGCTACCAGCTGTTTCAGAAGTCTTGGCTGACTTATGCACAAATCCGAAGACGAAGATAATGCGAAGACGAGCACGAACACGAAGAAGTGCACTAATACGGGGACCTAGGCTAATATATAAAGTAATACAAATTCCNATGTAAGTATCTCAATATCAGACGCAAGCTATCTGTTTATTTCTTAACTATATTTAGGAGGGCTACCAGCTGTTTCAGAAGTCTTGGCTGACTTATGCACAAATCCGAAGACGAAGATAATGCGAAGACGAGCACGAACACGAAGAAGTGCACTAATACGGGGACCTAGGCTAATATGTAAAGTAATACAAATTCCTGTAGNCGAACACGAAGAAGTGCACTAATACGGGGACCTAGGCTAATATATAAAGTAATACAAATTCCTGTAGTATGAAAGGAAATAAAAATGAATCGAAGTAGTGATACACGTCATGGCATATATGTATCTATTTATACGCTGATATTACAAATCATTGAAGTTAATGTGGATCTGCTTATCTATTGCTAATTATATTAATCATTCACAATTCATATTAATTTATTAAATTCAATTCAGTAAAAACAAAATGAATATTTCATGCACCGTTTTTGNGAAAGGAAATAAAAATGAATCGTAGTAGTGATACACGTCATGGCATATATGTATATATTTATACGCTGATATTACAAATCATTGAAGTTAATGTGGATCTGCTTATCTATGGCTAATTATTAATCATTCACAATTCATATTAATTTATTAAATTCAATTCAGTAAAATCAAAATGAATATTTCATGCACCGCTTTTAACATGAATGTGATCTTAATAATATTCTAATGTATTTACGTTTACGTTTAGCGGCTGTGTCGGGGCCACAGGTCAATACGAAGGCGCAGGGTTATTTATTCACGAGGAAGATGTGGTTTAAAACAGTGTTTATCGCAGACGCTGCTTGGATGACATGTTTTCCATTTGAATGCAGTAAGTCTGGTTTTAATATCTTCTCCACAGTACTTCTAAGGTCGCCAAAATGGTCAGAAGCACTTTAGCGGTTAGCGAGTAAATATGCTGTTATAGTAACCACATAAGCCCAAGGATTCCCTCGCGACTTCTAGCATCGCTTTAGTAAACAACTAAAAGGCGTAAAGTTCCTATTTGCCCCAGTCACAGAATCGCATGTAGCATTTATTAAGGAGTCTANTTATTTATTCACGAGGAAGATGTGGTTTTAAAACAGGGTTTATCGCAGACGCTGCTTGGATGACATATTTTCCATTTGAATGCAGTTAGTCTGGTTTTAATCTGTTCTCCACAGTACTTCTAAGGTACCAAAAATGGTCAGAAGCAGAAGCCGCCCCTACTATTTAACTTCCAAGTTTAGTAGGAATTCATCAGCGTCTTTATATGGATGTATGTAGCATTTATNAAGGATTCCCTCGCGACTTCTAGCATCGCTTTAGTAAACAACTAAAAGGCGTAAAGTTCCTATTTGCCCCAGTCACAGAATCGCATGTAGCATTTATTAAGGAGTCTATAAGGATGCATTATTTATTATATATTAAGTCTGTAAAATCAATAAGGTTTGCTATGCGGTAATTTACAGTCGATATTTTCACTAATTAATGTCCATAAGTATAACCTTTAATATATTAATGAATTTGTGACTCGCTGAGATATTTTCTTTTGCGTTTTCAGTACCCTGAAACAGNCACTAATTAATGTCCATAAGTATAACCTTTAATATATTAATGAATTTGTGGCGTGCTCAGATATTTTCTTTTGTGTACTTCTAGACAGTCTTTGTTTTTAGTACTCCGAAATAGGAGAAGTATCTACTAACTGTTAAATAAGTGCCAAATATATGAATAAACATGTATATGAGTAAACATGCATATGTTTTACATGAACCTTTTTTGTATACTGGTAGTAAGTCAACAAGATCCAATTAAAGAGGTAGGAAATTATTTCTGTCTGAAAGGACTGTTAATCTAGGTCTGATACATATTTGGGTTCCTCTTTTAATTCCGAAAGAATAATTAATAACGCGTAGTTGAATNCAAGTTTTTCGTGCAAAGAAGGATGGGCAGCTAAGCAAAATATTCTGTATCTACTTACTGTTAAATAAGTGCCAAATTATATTAAGAATCGGAAAACAACATGTATATGAGTAAACAGGCATATGTTTTACATGAAGTTTTTTTGTATACTGGCAGTAAGTGTACATAGTCAACAAGATCCAATTAAAGCGGTAGGAAATTGTTTCTGGCTGAAACGATTGTTAATCTATCCTCTTTTAATTCCGAAAGAATAATTAATAACGCGTAGTTGAAGTCGTGCGAATACCACAAACATCTTAGTGTAACTTAAAACATACTCCCTGCACTTACCAGCTTTCCTTTGCAAGACTGCTTTAATAGACCCTCCTCTGCGCAATTTCGTATCAACTCAATGCTCGCTGTATCGGCCATATATTGCATAGTTAGATTAGGCATATCCTTAAGTATACAAGCATCAGCCCAGGAAGGCACTGGAATGGCAACAAACGAAAATCGAAGTGAACAAGACTACTAAAACTAGCAACAAAAACGCGAAAGTAGAGCAACGAAAATGTTGAATTTTCATTAAGTGCACCGAACATGTGTATATATGTATATATGTATGTATGTATTTATTTACATAGACAACACACCCATACACATCATAGATGTACATAGGCGTACTATTAAGTGTGCNGTATATATGTATATATGTATGTATGTATTTATTTACATAGACAACACACCTATACACATCATAGATGTACATAGGCGTACTATTAAGTGTGCCAACACTTACATACGGCACATGTTGTGGACTGCGCTACGCAACCACAGGTACACTTACCCGGCATTTCGCAGAGGAACGATGCGGTCTCGGGGCCGCCGCAGCGCAACGCATGCCAGCGATAATCGCGTATAGGATCGATGACGGCGCAGAGTGGTGCATCCATTAGTGGCAACGATTCGGCCCAATAGCCAGTGTCGGTGACCAGTGGGCGGGAGTTGCTGAAAATAGAGAAGGAGATGAAGTAGAAACAAGATGGAAAATTAAGTTGCACTAAATGGGTGCAGTGGCATGTTCAAACATGTGTGTGACCCTGCGCACGTGCTATTAGAAAGCACATAAATTGAGGTCTACTTTTAGGCGGACAGTGCATTGAATTCCCTCTGCAACAGCGGTGCTTAGAAAATGCTAAGCTTTTGCAGCGGATTTCAATCGAAAACTTTAATGGTGGGGCATGACCTGATAAAAATACTACGTACACAAATTGAAACATACAAGCAGTTGCGTGTTTGAACGTGTTTGTGAATACGACCGTGGGCATGAATCGCTATTCCAAGATAAACGACGGTGAGGTGCGGATACATTTTTACATATTATATATGTTCATATTTATTTACGGGTATGTCCGTTAGATGCCATAATGCTTAGAATGTTTTTGTTATGCTTTAGGTTTATTATTTTCACAAGCGGTACACGTTATATTAATTGTTGTTTGTAGAAAAAAATTATTTTTTGATACTGGGCCATTGGATACACATATGTAGAATAAAAACTAGGGATCCGTATGATATGTCAAAAAAATATCGAAACCTAAAATGACGAAAAACTAAAAAACTAAAAGCCAGATTACACCGAATAGGTCAGTAAAATTAGACTTTTTCTCATCAACAATTTCAATAGGAACTTGGCCCAATCAAATAAAAAAAAAATCATACAAAGGTTGTAGAGGATGAAATTCTCTACATCATTGGTCTATGAATTTGCTACGTATTTTCAAAAGAATTTATTGAAAAATGGCGAAAACCGTGAAAATATAAAATTTTTTCGCAGTTTTTGCAAAATTTTTAAATAACAATTTTTTTTATCTAATACGTAAAAACTGGGGGAAATTGAATTCTTTAAACATTTTTATAGAATCATTAGTTTAAAAAGCAAAATAAGCTTGCAAATTGCAAAAAGCCCAAAAAAACAAAATCCAAGATGGCGGAATGTTCCCTTATGAAATTTAGACACAAGACTATGGATAAGTGATATACTTGCCAAATAGATGTTAACTGCATCAAAAGTTCGCTACTTAAAAAAAATTGTTTTCCTCTTACTAACTCTACAGAATTTTCCTTTTTATTTGCTACACGTATTATTATTATACATTACGCAGTCAGTTTCACTGCACTGGCCCATAGTTTCGAGAGTATATAGATTTTTTCGTGTGTTTTGAATTTTTTGGCATAAAAAGTGTTGCTATTTTAAACAAATTGGCTACCATATCAAATCAATATTTTTTATTCAAAATTGTCTTCATGCAAAAATTATAAAAAGAGTATCAAAAACAGGTAGGATTTTTAAATTTTGTTAAAGTTTATGTTAATATATCCTCCAAAAATCTGCAAAAAACGCAGTTTTGAAAAAAGTGTTGGTAAGGGTCTTTGTGAAAAAAAGAAACGATATAAAGGTATATATATTTTTAATTTTCCTTTTCAGCACTTTTAACATTTTTTTTTTTACAATTGCCTAAGCCTTGTTCTTTTGCTTGATTCTGTTTGGTTAGTTAAACATTTTTGTGAGCGGACTTTTTAAATGTTGCAAAAATTCTTGTTCAAGGAAAAAAAAGTTGTGTGGGGAAAACAAATAAAGAGTATGACTGATTCATAGTGTAAATTGATGTGTTTTTAAGTTTTGGCAAACATTACTATATTTAAGAATTATTTTTCAATACTTACGACCACATAAAACGTTCCGAGCTCTGCGGTCGCATCAAACCTATCCAAACAATATCGTTGACATCCAGTTCTCGCAAAAGATCTCTCGTTGCATCGAATTGGAAGCTGTTGTCAACTGAAAGTAAATTTATAGCTTTAGATTAGCTTTTTAAAAAAGTGAGTACATTTTTATTTACAACTTTAAAAAAGTATTTAATCTATACTATAATAAAACTGTATAAGAATAAAATACAGTTTTTAAATTAATGGCTTGTCCAAGTTAAAAGTAAAGGTCATTTGAGTGGACTTCACCCAGGGAGAGGAAATATCACGTCGGATTTGTACTGTTACAGTTGCGTAGACTACGACGAGGTGGCGTCATCTCAACACTTTCTCTTAAAGTGTCCAGCTTTTGCGACATTGCTGTCTATGTCAGGTTAAACGGGCAGCACTGAGAAGAGTTCACTCAGAGCACAGACCACAAAGACCCACTGCGATGCCTAGGGGGGATCTTTGAACCACCCTATTCTCTGGCGAATCCTACCAGTCCTTCCAGTGGAGCTTTCCCCAAGGTATTCAGGTTATTGAAGAAATGGTCCCCAAGAAATTTAAGACGTTTTCCTGGGCCATATTCCCATTGGTTCAGTGTCCCGATAGTATTGCTGTGAGAAGCCCAACGTCTGGCTTTGAAAGCCAAATAAAATGAACAAACTTTTTGTTCTTCGTGCGCAGAAATCGCAGGGGAGGTTTCACGATCTGGATCGCTTCTCCAAGCCCCATCTAAGATCCGCTTTTAACACCACTATGCCGCGGGACCCAGTAAAGATTGAATATGTGTTATTGTTTAGCATGTAGGGATTTCGGCATTCTTTATCAAGTTAATCTTCGCCGCCCCTAAGGCTTTGATAGCCGCCTGACTGTCAACAACGAAGGCAAGTTTAGATGGAGCTACGTCGACCATGCTCACCATGGTTGCCGCCATGAAGATTGCATATATCTCAGCCTGAAATAAAATGCAGTGATGTGGGAGTCTATAGGACCCTCTGAGAGATAACTCCTGAGAAAAGACGCCTGTTCTTGGTCAGATATCCATTTTGGAGCCGTCCATGAAAATGGGTAATTCGTCATCGCTGAGAGCAATACTAAGTTCCTTGTTACTTCTGTCGAGAAAATGGACTACGAAATTTCGATTGAATTCAGTTTTTGAGACCTGATAGTAACAGTTACTGTCGATGTGCAGAGCAGGAATTCGTTAAATACGACGCTCCACAGCAGGGGAGATCACATCGACCTTGAGGGGTTCCACGTGTGGATGTTTTCCTTACTTTTATTATTTCCAAGGAGCCATTGATGCTTCTCGTACTTAACATATTGTCGTTCCGGAGAGTGATCAGTGGGTCCAGTCCTACGGCTACCATAGAGCAGTATATGGATGCCAAACTAACATTGGTAAAGGCGCCTTCCACGTCCAAAACGGCTGTCAGCGCGTAATCTTTGTGGTTAGGTGCTTACTATATACTCCAAATCAATTTCGTGCAGGGCTTTTTTAACCGCCCTACCTTTGCGGATCGTTAGTCAGGGAGTCATCGTGGCACTTTTTCGTTGTAGCACGCCTGGAAAGATTCCACCCGAATCTGGAGATTTGCAGTGTTGGAAGGATCTGATAGCCCAAGCTACTTTATCTGCAAAGCTGATTTTGTCAATTGGACTGCCTTGCCCATGGATACTAGGGAGTTTTGTCGCAGCAGTGACAGTGTCCCCTGTGTCACCGAATGCAGGGAAGTGGGCCCCCATCAGGTGATCTACTGTCCCAAGGCTGCCTTCATTGTGCCCTCCTCCTGGTTTTTCTAGGAAACTGCGAGGAGCAACTCATTGAATTTGCGGCGATAATCGTCCTAATCCTCCGCGTCCTTAGGGAACTTCACTCTATTGAAAGCCGTAGTAGCTGCTGTCCTAAGCTGCCTTAGTTCCGCCATCCGCCACCTTGTGTGTCGCCTTGAAGGATTTCGATAAGGTTTTTGTATCGGTTTGCTTAGGTAATTGGAGAATACGATGCGACAGCGATCAGAAAAAGAGAATTTTGTCGATACGTGCCTCAACTCTAAAACTGCTGTCTAATCATCGCATGTTTTAACCAACCCAGAAAAGTTCTCTGAAACCTACATTTTTAGCCTGCGTAACCTGTGTCTAGGCCCATAATGTTTTTCGCTGTAGCTGAACAGTTACCTTTTTTAGTGGTTTCATAAATGAGCATTATGTACTTATGATTAAAGTGTTCTCCTCCCTTCAAAGCTACCCTAACCTAACGAATTTCAACGAATAAGAGCTGAAGCTGAATTCAGTCGTGAAATGGCATAAGTATTGTATCCCTTCTGTGAAATCCCGACTCGCAACCCTTTTATTACAGCTGTGTACCCCTTGCTGTATTTTAAACCTTTGTACTTTGTTAATACACATACATAGTATTATAATATTACTAGATTTTGAATTTACAAAAATATGCAAACAATTTCTACATTTTCCATGCCAATGATTGTATAAATGTACCTGAGCTACTTCCACCGATATATGAATTATGGAAACACATTAAAAATTACATTAATTCATTTCTAGATGTACACAAGAGGATTTTGGGAAGTTTTAAATATGCAGGTACATAAATACCCAGTGGGAAAATGTAATCTATGTATAGTGATCGAAAAAGTAATCAGTAAAACAACTCTTTTCACATTCGAAAATGCATTTTTTTCCCAGGGCGATGTCCAAAGGAAAGTGGTTCATTCAATTTTGCATTACTAGTAGCGAGAAATGAATGTGTTTTAATATGCAATTTTTGGAACTTTTTGAATACATTTGAATGCTGATTACATAGTTAGCAGTAGTATTATCGAGAACGCATAAGAAATACATTATATTATTTATCACGCATGTAATGCATTACTACTTTTCCGACTGGATAGTATTCGAAATTTGTATTAAAAATCCGAATTGGTACAGCTGTACCAATGATGTTAATACAGGTACATATATATCTATGTATGTACCTTAGCCACTCTTACTTACTTATGAGTAATATAAAATATTCAATCAATTCAATCGTTAATGCACAGATGGGATATTAAAAAGTCTCAGCTCTGCAAATACAAAATTTAGGAAAATTCAATAAATTTTCATCACAACCTCAAAATTTGTGTGTATGCAGTTTTAGTCTATTGAAGTGCAAGTTTGAGAGTTTTTTTTTGTAACGAATTTTTGCAAATCTGCAAAAGCAGTCTCCAAAAGAAAAATTTAAAAAATCAAACTCTCAGACTCTTAAGCTGATTGAAACTGTTACTTCTTTAAACTAAAATTTTATGGGGTATAAAACTGCATACCAAAAATATATCAAGATTCAGATTTAAAAGTTCAATTTCGATGAAAGTTTGTTGAATTTTCCTAAATATTGTATTAAGTTTGAAATTGTGATTTATTTGTGTTTGGTTAAAGCTTGGTATTTTTTATCAAAAACGTGGTAATTTATTTGAGTCAGTTAAAGAGTGAGTTAATGATAAGTAAGTAATCCGCATTTCGCTCGGAATCTACTTTTTCCAAATTGGAATGCTTTTTAGGAGCTTTTCTTGTCACTCACTACTTACTTTGTGACATCAAATTATCTTTTATGTCATCATCAATATGCCAGATTTTGCCATAAAAACGTAAGGTTGCAGAGGTATTCAAATTATCAAAATTCGCTGGCACAATTTTCAAAATGTTTCCTTGTATTTTCCCCTCAGTTGTGTGGCCTTCATCACCGTTGACAAACAAAAATGCCGTTAGCGCAAAGGAGCTGTCATGAAGCATTATTGGTGTTAGTTTGTACTGCGAATTTGTGTTATTGATAGGTCAAACTTTGTTGGCGTCTGTTGACATTTTAAGTGATAAAATGTAAAATCGAAAAATTCAAAGAGAATTTGGGTAAGAGTTAGCCAGGTTGTGCCTTTTTTAGGTTTTCACTGAAATTATCTATGCGCGTTTGTAGATATTTTGTTTATTATTTTCTGCTAGAGGCAGTGGAATTTGACAAACACTAACTGAATTCTTCGTTAGTATTTTTGTTGTGCTGCTGCTGCTACGCTCAACCAACTGGAAATCTCGTTTGCCTGAAGCCAAGTGACGCGTACTCTTAGTGGTCAACAGGGCGTATGAATTTTATATTTTCGGATTTTTTATTTTTTTTTTTGTCATAGCATTTGAAGCAACCCTCTTTGCTAGTGTCGATCTCTATGCTCGTGTGCTTCTAACTATGCATGTACTTATTTATGTGGGCGCTTGTGCGATGAAGTCCATTTTTACAGATGTGCGAGCGTGTTTGTTTTGTGAATTTGCATTTGTATGCGCCCGGAGTGCTTGTCTGTTTGCGCATTTCGTCGTTGAACATTTGCATATCTAGTTTATTTATTTTTACCGAGCACACAGCCACCAACTGCTGGCCATTTTCTACACCGATTTTCTGCTCTTCCTTTTTTCATATGCACATTTTTGTTTTTACACTGTTTTCGTATGCCCTGCCAGCATATTTGCATTTTTAATTTTTGTGTCACCGCCACCGATTTCGTAGCCACTAACCAATGTTTGCTTTTGACGCTTTTATTTCTGCACATTTTTTCGGCGAAAAACTTCGCCTTCTTCCGGCTAGTGTCTTCAGTTTATAGCATAGAATGTCTGAAAGTGATTTCCTTCTTGGGTGGCTTTATAATTTCACATCGTTTGCTCTCTTGAGTGGGGTCAAGCTGATTTTTAGATAACTTTAGACTTTTCTTAGAATTAAGTTTTGCTTAAGGCTGATTTTTACTTTGCATATCATATATCTTAATCGAAATTGCTTTATATCTGTTATTCCTTTATTTACCTGTCACTAGATTGGCATGATGAAATTGGCATACAGCATCTGCCTCAAACCAAGATATTCGATCACGGAAGAAGCGATAGAAGACATTAAGTCCCTCTTGTGGCATAGTCCAAGTGTTGCTAACATTGACCTGAAAAGTCAAAGAAAATTGAAAATAATAAAGTTAAAGTACTTATTCTGTTTAATTCAGATTTAAAAATATGTTCTTGAAATTTATAAGTCTATTTTGGCACCACCTCTCGGGTAAACATTTTTCAAAAATATTGTTAATATAAGCAAAATTTGACTAAAATTAAGGCCATTTATCCGCAGTTCCACTGCGGTGGGTTCAGCCGAGCAAATTTTCATACTAATATTGCAGTACTGTACTAATTTGTTTAACACTAGGAAGACTAAAAAATCGACATACATGCATTGAAAGACGGACAAGGGTCATTTGACCAAGTCACTTTAAAATTAATTTTAGTAAAAAAAAACTTATAATTTTAAATAACAAACTGTTTATTAATTAAATTATTAATTTAATAATAACATAGTATTTAAATTTAATTTTATAATTTCATATCATAGTAAATAAGTATACCTGTTTGCAAAGAGGGTCAAATGACCCCTTTAAATTTTTTAACGAAGATGTACTTCTTATTTAAGTTTGTAAGACATCAGTAAAATTGGAATGCTTTCCAACTAAATTTTATTTTTTAGAAATATAACTGGAAGAATAAATATTGGCAGTAAAATATTAAAATCTGCCTAGCGTTAGTAAAACTTGACTCCAAGCAGAAAGTTTTCTTTAAGACATGATAATTTGGAAGGACCTTAATATTAATGAAAAAATAATAAAACTGCAAAATTCGTAAAACATTCTGTGGCATTTGCAATGGTTATTTAAGGCTCAGTTGGTCTAGAAATTGTCAATGATTACTCATCACGTCAACTTAGCCAGAAGCGAAAATAACATAACATAAAAAAAAAACATAACTTAACTGGCAGAATAAATATTGGCAGTAAAATATTAAAATCTGCCTAGCGTTAAGTAAAACCTGACCCCAAGCAGAAAGTTTTCTTTGGGAAATGGTAGTAAAAATCTTGTCCACTAACCTTCTGCGGATTGAGAAAGTCGTCTTAATGTTAATGAAAAAATAATAAAACTGCAAAACTCGTAAAACATTCTGTGACATTTGCAATGGTTATTTAAAGCTCAGTTGGTCTAGAAATTGTCAATGACTACTCAACACGTCAACTTAGCCAGAAGGGAAAATATTTTGTTTTGGTATTTTCCTTTTTAGCTGATTTCCACTTTGCCACCTACCCAGCAAACATTTGGAGTCATAAATGAGTCTTTACGGAGTCCTATTTCAGCCCCTTACGCTCTTAGTGAGCTCATTTAAGAGTCCCATATGAGGGTGTTTCCCTTCCTCCGAAGGTCGACTTATATGAGCTTAAATTCATACATTAAATTAGCCTCAATATGAGTCATATAGAGTCCAATATTGGGCTCAAATGCGAATTATTTTGGATCCTTTAAAAAAAAAATTTTGGCTTCATATATGAATCATTTTAGACTCTTTTTGAAAATTTTTTTGAGATAGAGCGTTTTCGAACTGGCTGCCGAGATAGGTCGATCTTCCACTCAGCAGTCGATATATACATTCCAACATGCATTTAATAGCAGCAGTGGCAGCTAAATTTGGTTTATTTTTTGTTTTCTAATTGTTTTCAAGTTCTGTATAAACAAGTTTAGATATAAATTTCAAGTCTTTATTGTTTGTATAGTGGTACAAGTTGCTGGCTCATAACTTGGATCATATATGATTCCTAAATGATTCATTTAAGAGTCACACATTTTTCACTTTTTAAGCTATATTTCTTACCCACCGAGGACTCCTTTCGGACTCATATGTTCTGAGCGCTCAGAATATAATTGCGGGGTAAGCGGGAAAAAATCGAAAAATTCGTAGTCTGCAATGTGGATGTGTTTGGTAGTTTTGTAAAAGCAATTTATCCACTAAAAAGAATTAATGGTAAACATAATTTACGCCCTTTAATGGCAAACATCGCCTATGACGCTACATTTATAAAAAAAAATTATATTTCGCCTTTATAAAAAAAAAAAAAATTCATAATTCATTCATTCATAAAATATAATATAGGTTTATAGAGTTCTATAAAAAGACATTTTCCTACAAATTTTCATTTTCGTCAAATTGTTCGCAAAACGTTGAACACAACATTTTGGGCTGTTAAAGCAAAGCAAACCTCCATACAAATCAGAGCGATTCGATCTTTATTAAACGATTTCGTACTATTTTGACTTTACAGGATTTTCGGTGCTTCTTTTGGACTTAGCAAATTTTGCTTTCATTTAATATAAACTAGAATAAACAAGATAAGTACCTTTATCCCTTTCAAAATAATGCATATTTAATTTAGTTTTAGCCTTCTGTATCAAAGTATTAGTCTCCATAAAAAGCGGACTTAACAACTTTTAAATCTCAGCTTGCGATGTGTACTATGAAATTGCATTTTTCTTTGCTTCAGTCATTCTATTTATAACACAAGTTATTTACTGAGTGCTTTCCTTTGGCGATAATTATTTCCTCCACCTTTTGTTATTATTTTATTTTCATCGTTATCGTTAATCCTAGGCAACCGCAATATTTACCTTCATTTCTTTTGAATTAAATATTCTTTTCTTAATTTTTGTGCTTTGAAATTTTTTCAATATACAAGCGCAACTTTGTTCAAAGTTTGTATAACTTAAGAGTAAACCAAAAGTGTGGGTATAAAAAATAAATTACTCTAACAAAGCGAGGGGCAACGGAAGGATAGGAAATGAGAAACGAAGTAATGGAAAGTGTTAAACAAATAAATTGAAAGGGAAAAGCCAACAAGTTATCCTTTGTTCCAGCGTATATTCGCAAAAAAATCCTTTATTTTGTTGCCAACAGAGTTGTTGTTTTGTGTGTAGTATTTAGAGCTGAAGCTTCGTTTAACGGAAAAAAAGGGTTACGGGGATAAGAAAAACGAATTAAAAAGGGCTAAAAACTAAGAGTGAA